TGTCTGCTGGAGCCCCTAGGCTCCTGGGATGATTGTCTTATGGACTAGTAATTAGTGCCGCATCGATAGCCGATCTCAGATGCCACTATGGAGGCTGTATGACCATGTGCTGACGGTTATTTGCTTTTTCCCGCGCACCTCGGTAAATCAAAAAATAAACGCTCGAATTTGATTATAAAATATTCACACAACTTCTTGATACCTACTTGACAATATTACGTAGCCAGATTTACCTCTGTTGCCTATCTTTTGGTGTTATGACCGTTCAAAGTTTCAGATTATCACGTGACACATTATGTCACAGTCATGTCACAGTAAAAGCACGTCGTCGTTATTTTCAAAACAATCCCTTGTGCACTCGAAATTATTTAATATTATAATAATTAATATTATCAACTTTGGCTGCACGTCGCGGGAAAAATTTCAATATAATCCCTGTGCCGGTGTTATAGTATAATTCAACATGTGTCTTAAGGTTAGGTACCCCTCTAGTTCTACTTGTAAAAAGTTGCTGCTTTTGCGCACGTGTTTCCGTACAGAAATAAATTCTCACAATCTTCAGTTGTTGGTTGGGAAAGAACTCTCAGATTTACTTTTTGCTCCTGCCAGTGTACGTATGTTTGTGCTACAATCTATGGACTTTCTGTCAAGTTGCAGGAATCATCTTCACGGTCAACAAGTTATCCCAACCCTCCAACACTTATTTTAAGGTAACTTGAGGCTATCTTTGACTATTAGATTTTAATACTGGTGTGGATTTGGCCTGTTTTGAAAGTCACGAAGCTGGTTAATTGCTTCCACCATTGTAGCAGTGTGGTATAATAGTATGGTATAGTAGTGTGGTATAGTAGTGTGGTATAGTAGTGTGGTATAGTAGTGTGGTATAGTAGTGTGGTATAATAGTATGGTATAGTAGTGTGGTATAGTAGTGTGGTATAGTAGTGTGGTATAGTAGTGTGGTATAGTAGTGTGGTATAATAGTAGTGTGGTATAGTAGTGTGGTATAGTAGTGTGGTATAGTAGTGTGGTATAATAGTAGTGTGGTATAGTAGTGTGGTATAGTAGTGTGGTATAGTAGTGTGGTATAATAGTAGTGTGGTATAGTAGTGTGGTATAGTAGTGTGGTATAGTAGTGTGGTATAGTAGTGTGGTATAGTAGTGTGGTATAGTAGTGTGGTATAGTAGTTTGGTATAGTAGTGTGGTATAGTAGTGTGGTATAGTAGTGTGGTATAGTAGTGTGGTATAGTAGTGTGGTATAGTAGTGTGGTATAGTAGTGTGGTATAGTAGTGTGGTATAGTAGTGTGGTATAATAGTAGTGTGGTATAGTAGTGTGGTATAGTAGTGTGGTATAGTAGTGTGGTATAGTAGTGTGGTATAGTAGTGTGGTATAGTAGTGTGGTATAGTAGTGTGGTATAGTAGTGTGGTAAAGTAGTGTGGTATAGTAGTGTGGTATAGTAGTGTGGTATAGTAGTGTGGTATAGTAGTGTGGTATAGTAGTGTGGTATAGAAGTGATGTATAGTACTGTGGTATAGTAGTTCTCCTAAACTAAACTTCTCCCCCAGAAGCAGCTCAGAAGCGTGTTCTCAGTAGCTCTCTCGCTGGGCTGCACTTGGATTACAGCCCCACTTTTATACATCGACAATAAACATATGAAGGGGATTGTCCAAATGGTCTTCATCCTAACCAACGGAATGCAGGTTTAAATGCGTGGTCAAGGTATACATTCCAGACAAAAAAGAGAAAGTTTTCTAGTACAAGAAGTAGAATTTCCTTATAGTCGATTATAATCGCTTAATGAGCGGTCAAAAGGCGCTTTTTTTAAAGAACCGTTTGTAAACGCTTCCAAATTGCTTTTATATATATTATGAGTGATGGAAAAGCGGTCAGCCGGGAAAAAAATCCGAGTATAAGCGATTATAAGCGATTATAATTGTTCATAAAAAATCGAATTTAGCTTTCATTTTAGACTTCACGTCTCCCGAAATAAAACTGCGAACAAAGTGAAACAAGGAACTAAGTAAACTGTAAAACCAAATTTTCGTCACGCATTGGACTTTATCAAGGTTACCTTGATAAAGTCCAATGCGTGACGAAAAAAAAACTTGTTTCACTTTGTTCGCAGTTTTATTTCGGGAGACGTGAAGTCTAAAATGAAAGCTAAATTCGTCTCAAACTCACGCTCAGCCTTAAAATCTATTTTCATAAAAAATCACAAATGTGTGCGCTTTCCAAACCTGCTAGACACTAAACAAACCAGTTAAATGGACATTTAGAAATGCGGTTATAAGCGATTTTGCAATTTTCTGTTTGAAAAATACATAAGAAAAGCAAATTTTAACGCTTATAATATGAAGTATATGATAAAAACGCTTATCAACACTTGAAATTGCTTTTCATAGACACTAACAGAAAATTTTATTTTTGGTAACTTAACTCTTTGCTCTTCTAGTCTAGATAAATTCCAATAACTTTGTTCAATTTTGTTTTGACTAAATGTTTCTTCTTTCAGGGTCTTTTCATCTTCATTTTCTTCGTTTTACTTCAACCAGATGTGAAGCAAGAATTGCTGAATTCTCTTTCCAACAGAAAAAGCTCTTTGAAGACTGAGAAGCTGGAGGAAAAGGAGTTCCATGAAGTACCCACAGATGAAGCTGAATAAGGATCAGATGAAGCTACCGTCAATAAGGAAAACTGTCATATTAAAGTTATTTGACGCCCTAGCAGTTGCTCTCCCTGCTTCTTATGGATGCCATATCTAGCTACCCCAGACTTAATTCATGAAGTCATTCTCTTCCCAGAATAAGTTCCCTAAACTCAAGAATTTGACCCGACAGGGCTGCACCCATTGCAGAATTAACTGTTCGTTATTAAAACCCTGTGCCTCTTTTATTTCCATTATATTTATATTTTTTCCGTGTCATATTTTGCAGTATTGATCATTTATTCTTGTAGTCGGGAGTGTTAGGGCTCCCGTTGACCAAATTACATTTTACCCCGTTTAATCCCGTTCAAACTCGTTTACAAAATTCTTTTAAAAAACCCAAAAATCACCATATTCAGATGCTTAAAAACCATATTAAAATAAAATTAGAGGCGTGTAATTGCAACTTATCGTTATTAATATTACTATTAGTGCTGAGTCCTGCTTCCAGTTCATCAATTTTGAATGAATGGGAAAAGCGAGCGACCAATTTCATTCTCGGTGTCATTTTGCGTTTAGGTATGGTAATTTAAATCGATATCATTCCCTTTTGTTTGGAAAAATAAAATACTGTTATACTCTATCCAATTTAATTTTTGGTTTCTTCAATATCTTCTTCTTTTAGTTAATAGTACTATAATAGTAGATGCTCTTATGGACAAAAAGTCGTGTTTGGCGCCCAAATCATTAATTGGACACGATAGTATGATGTATAAGCATCAAGAATCTGTTTCGAAATATGAAACATGAATCAGTCATGTGCTATACCAATGCGCGTTTTAAACTTTGACAGTCTATAACTCTTATGTCTTAGGCGAATGAAGTAATTGTATAATGTATTTGACCAAAACACATAATCATTGGTAGAGTGGACCGCTGCCAGTGTCTCTCTTTCCCAAACAAAAGGATATGATATCAATTTGATTGACCGTTCTCAAATGCAAATGATACCGAGAATGAAATCGGTCGCTCGCTTTTCCCATTCATTCACGGCTTACGAATTGTAATAATTTTCGATTAATTACATCAATCAAATGCTGTAAAAATCTTTTTGGGTTGTGTTCGGGTCGATACCTAGTATTTCGCGATAAGGGTGGTAGTTAGTGAATTATCTGAAGTTTATTGAATCTTTGTTGCCGAGTACAGCTGCCTTCGGGTAGTTCTTCTTAATCTATTACAATTGTAAATGAATAGGAAAAGCGAGCGACCGATTTCATTCTCGGACCTCGGTATCATTTTGCATTTGAGAACGGTCAATCAAATTGATATCATATCCTTTTGTTTGGGAAAGAGAGACACTGGCAGCCGTCCACTCTACCCATGATTATGGGTTTTGGTCAAATATCATCTCTTTTTGATTATAATGTCAGGGTACTTTTCAAAGTCGAAATTCATAACTTTATTAATAAGGTAAAGGAGGTAATTTCAACGCGATTTTGAAATTTTACCTTTGAAAACATTTCCTTGTGTTTAGGTAAGCATATCTGTCGATCACTTTCTGAATATTCCACATTATACTCATTCAAGTCTGCATTAAATTCATATATAATGCCATTTAACTGTCATGGAAAAGCAGAATCTAATCGAAATCACGATTGAGCAAAATTCTCACCTTTCGCACGTGCAAACATTGAGCGGACGTTGCGTGCGCATCCAATATTGAATCACCTTAAATTTTTGCATATTCATTATTTATGTATAGTTTGATAAGCATGCAAAGTTTCAAAGTATTTCAAGAAGAACTGTATTCACAACGGCACTCCAAAGTTGACAGAAAATGGTAAAAACAGCAACTTTCAGTGATTTTAGCAATTTTTAATCAATTTGGGCGTGTCCCCACGTATGCAACTTTTCGATTTTCAACTTTAAAACTAGCCTAATGCACAATTTATACCTATAGGAAGCAGAACTGAGCTCCACAACCCAAGGGATAGCCCAACACCAGAGAATACTAAATCGCAAGATGTTTTTATAAAGTAATTCTTCAAAAAAGCACTAACTTCAATGGCAAATATCTTTATGAAGGAGCAAGGTAGGGAAACTTTCCGGTAGATTTTCGGAATGCTTAAACAATTATCTAACCTGTTAATGTCCTCAGATTTTGAATAAAATTACTCCTTAATGGTGTAAAATCAGTTTGAAAAGTTGTTATTTTGTCAAAAATCAAGTTTTAAAAACACTTAATTTGATGACGTCATCAAGTGGTGATGATGACGTTAAATTATTTTTTGATATAATTGAAACTGAAGTGTAAACGATTATATTTAAGACCTGTGCCTTAAATTATTTCAGAATTATAACTATTGTGAATTCAATAAAATATTTATCACTTTTGTATCCTTGTATCCTTGTATCCTTGTATCCTACAAGTATGAAAAAAGTGATACAATAGTTTGTAGAATTACTATTAGTAACAGAAGCTTTAAAAAAAAACACATGTTAATTGTCTTCCGCTTTCAGTGAACATTTTAAATTTTAACTCCAAGTCCCTAACTCCACGTATGATGGTCCTGTCTGTGGATGACATCTTTCCACTTCCTTGCAAAGATCTCTTCGCCACACTCCGACCAACTCACAACTAGTCTCTCCTCCAAATAATAAGAGTCAGCATCCCCCGACAAGACCTGGTGTGTCCTGATCCTGACCCCGACCTCCTTCTCACACGTGTCGCTGAACTCCAGGGAATGAAACACCACCACGTGCTCCTGGTGGATCTTAGCTACAGCTTCAGTCACCTCAGTGTCACACTCGTAACTCTCGTGGGATTTCTCGAAGTGTTTCAGGTTTATGGTGTGAGGCAGGGACTCCACCCCGGAATCCTCCCTGAACACAAACTTCACTCTGTCCCCAATGTTGGTAACTAGATAAGAGTTAGTGCCCGGAGTAGTGGAGCGGTACGGCATGCTCAAAAGGGGTCTCGGAGCTGGAAATGTAACAGTGTTGTTACTCAGATAATCCAAACTCTCTGTCTGGTAGAGAAACATGCAGGCACTAGGTTTTATGTAGAGATGAGAAGGAACAAGAGAGGGCCACAGAAGTGGGAAGTTGTTTGGGGAGATAGAGAGGGAGATCTTGTGAGCAGGCAGGAAGCAATGTGATGTGAATCTCATAGGGAGTGAGAATGTCCTGCTATCTTCTTCACATTCGAGGGGTTGCAGATAGTTGAGATCAAACTGACATCTTGTGACTAGAGTGGCAAATCCGTCTGGGTGGATGTCACATACTTTAACGGAGAGGTAAACCCTTTTCCAACAAGAAGCAGACAGTTTTACTACAAAGTTTGGTGTTCCAATCATAACCAGAGATGTTTCTAATGGATCAGAAGAGAATGAGACCGAGTTATCAATTGATGCGGTCTGGTCCCCAGAGAACCCCCAGTCGATCCGTAACCAGTGACCACTGTTAACACCTTGGAGAGGATGGTTCAGCAGTTGAATTGGTTCACAACACGGTTCACTTGGCGGCTTATATGTTGTTATTTTGTTGATATTGTCAGTGGTAGTTGTGATGAAAAGGACCTCTACCATTTTATCGTTGCTTGCAACATGAGACTCGCCGGGAAGAAAACTTTTTACAGTGAGATGCTTGCAAGTATCCGCTACCTTTGTCCCCCTCTCCTCCCAGTCGTCAAAAGCCACAAACCTGCCAACATCTCCAATTTCCCCGTCTTCAGAACACAATATGTCTTCTGGTTTAAAACTGTTTCGTACAAAGAGTTGCAGCCGTGGCCAAGAAGAACACTTATTTTCCTGCTCAGTATGAACATCTTTGAGGTGATAACTAAACCAGTTGAGACACATATCAAGAAACTCTATGCGTGGTCCCGTCGCAGACACGTCAGGCCAGTTGTGGACCCAGGGGCCGATAATTACTTTAGAGGATCTGTTAAGCTTCCTTGCCATCCGCTCAATGGCCGTGGTGTATCCATCCTCCAGGCCCCCAATAGCGAGGATAGGGACAGTGACCTTCTTGTAGTCCTCATCAATTGATCCATGTTCCCAGAACGGTCCGGGGAGCTGGTTATTGGTCCAGGAAGACATTGGCGATTTAGAGGATTTCTCCAGCCTTTTTAACCACGTCTGATACCATTCCAGTTTCGTGTCGAAAAGTCGAGGAGGGGGAGGAAGAGCGTTTATAGCAAACATAAAGCTGGACCAGGAAAGCAGCCCTGATCCGATAGGACAACCTCCCTCGTAATGTATATCATCAGTATACCGGTTATCAGTGGAGTACAGTGATATAGCTGTCTTCAACGGGCTACTCTCCGGCTCCAGGTACGCCATCTGAAGTCCGTTAAACCCACCCCAGCTCTTACCATACATCCCCACCTTACTGTTACTCCAGGACTGCTGGCTGATGAACTGGAGCACTTCTGAACAGTCGCTCATCTCCTGGGGTAGATACTCTCCGTAGTAGCACCCGTCTGAAGCTCCAGTCCCTCTCATCTCCACTCTCATTACCACGAAGCCGTGAGAAGAAAACCAGGGGTGTCTGTTGTAGTCCCGAGCTGCTGTCAGTATATCCTTGTAGTAGGGCAGGTATTCCAGGATAACCGGGAACCTCTCCTCCTTATCGACTGTTTCTTCGTCATCAACAACAACAATGTCATCTTCAACTGTTTCTTCACCTTCTCCAAATATAATCCTTACATCAGTGGAGTTAGAGTTAAAAGTGTTGAACTGCTCAGAGAATGAGTTGGAGGGACCGTGTCTGATGTCGGGGACCCAGACACGGCATGACAGCGCCACACCATCCTTTAGAGGAATTGTGTAGTCACTCAGTTCTGTGACATAGTACTTTCCCAGACCGTACTTTTCTCTTCTTGTTGACACCATTCTATACAGAGTAGACATTAGAATACTGTGTTGATTAGTATTTTAACATCTTCTTTTATACGACCTTGTTCGGATTAGACGCTAAAAAAATGATATATTTAGGACTTCAAGTAGTGGATAGAGCAATGCACACAAAAAACCAACAATGCACAAAAAAACTCGATCGAGAAGAACTCTATCATAAAAAAGAATGGTAGAGTGGAAATAACATGAAGGTAAAATTAAAGCAGTAGCATGTGCACCCCGAAAAATTTTTAAGGAAATTAGACAATTTTGACGCATTTTCCAGTACTTGAGGGACACGAATTTACGTTCGTAGCGGGAAATTTGAAGTGTGACCTTTGTTTTCTTTTCCATCTTCTGCAGTTCACAGTAATTTGGTCACAGAAATTCGGTTACATGACATTCCGTTTTCACACTTAAACATGTCCGGCCAATCAGTGTCAGGATGACCCTGACACTGATTGGAATCTTTTGTTTGTGTAACTGTAACGGTAAAATAGGCAGCGCGAGATCAACTTAACACGCAACCATGCTGTGCTCCCACTCTCCCTCCCTCCCTCCCTCTCTCTTCAACCCCCTGGACGGAATTCATCCATCGTTCGTGGTAACTGGCATGGTATTTAAAAATAACACAATGTAGGGGGGGGCTACAGTGCAGTGGGGCTACAGAGCAGTGGGTGCGAAAACAAAACTGTATACCATAGCCGTCTGGTTTAATGTTATGTTGAAGAATAAATTTTCATGTTTTTGTTAACTTGTCCCCCAAATCCCAGGGGGGGGCAGCTGCCCCCCCTGCCCCCCCGGTGATGTAGCCCATGTATATTGCGAGAGCTAAAAGTAAGATCGTGAGAACATGGGCTACTTCGGAGACAAATACAATTCTAATTCCTAAAAAAATTTACTTCCTACGATGTAGTAAACAAATTATGCCATAGATGACTGACGAATGACAAAATATAGCAACAGTTATAGAACTGTTGTCTTAACTCAACAGTTAACTCGTAGACGTATTATTTCAAGAATATGGGGTTTGAGACCATCCACTACCACTCACCAGCTAACGAAATAGGTACTAGTACTAATTCTGAATCTACCCAGTCTAGAAACCTGAAACCGTAATCTCACCTGTGGTCGGAAATTGCTGTATCTTTTATAGGTATAAATCTAAAGACACCTGAATGTAGCCTATAATTGACTGGCAAAGCGTCTATCCCTGAATATATGTATGTATACCTTATTTGACCTTATTTGGACGGACATTACTTGAACGCTGGAGGCCCTAGCGTTCATCTTAATGTCCGTTTAAATAAAGTCCGTTCAATTAATGTCCGTCCAAGTTAAAGTCCGTTGAATTTTTTCAAACATTTTTTCATTTCGAACTTTTTGTCCAGAATATGACAAATTTTTAATTTCGGTCAATTTCAATAGCTATCATTAGACTAAACTATATCGTTGAATTAATAAAAACAAGGTATTATAAAATTTTAACAATCTGAATTGTAAATATCACATAATTGCATGATCACTATCTTGAAGTTGATCTTCGGCTTCTTCTACCTCCACATTTTATCTTACAACTGGTTGTCTGTCCAACTCGTAGTCGTACCGGGCAATGAACGGTCCCAACTGCTCTACTAGAGAGATACTTGAATGCATAAAGTACAGCTTAAGCTTTATCTCTAGTCCCCCACTTGGTATAGGCGACCTTCGGTGACTTATGTCAGCTACGATACCTTCTACCATACCGCCCATCTCGATAAAGTAGAAGACAAACTGGGATATCTCCCTAGTTATGTGACCGACGGTATCTAATCTAGTCCTGTAGGTACCTTCGTACCTTATCTGCACAGCGCAGATAAGCTTAAAGTTACTGTATGAAAAATGGATTTTAAAATCATTTGCTAAAATTTTTAAAAAGTCAAAAAAAGATGAAAAAAATTCGGATTTTTGATGGTTTTGATTGCCTTCTAGTTCTAGCGTTCATATTTAAATGTCCGTTCATAATTATGTCCGTTCAAGTTATGTCCGTCCAAATAAGGTCCGATAAGGTATACGTTACTCGTATGCATTATGATTATATTTGCAGTACATAATTTCATAATTTTATGTATATATTATATTTCAAATTTCAATTTTCAGCTTCAGCTCGCAAATGCAGAGTTGAAACCACGCGATTTTTAGGAAGGTTGTAGACAAAGGAATAGGAGACAGCATTCTTAGAATTTTAATTTAGGCTTTAGATTTTGTATAATTAACGTTGGAAGTGAGGTAAAATAAACGTTAAAATAATGGCGTTATTTTAGCAAAGGTTAACTGCGTCGTTGCCTAGCAAAAGCTTTACCTGGGGACCCCAAGCTATTATGTTCATTAACCTAATAAACCGAATAAAGATGCAGCGGAATGACAGGCTGAGCGCCGCCCTGCATTAATTTAGTGTATGTGTCGAACTTTAGTTCATGAGCGGGTTAGGAATGAAAATGAACAGTGTTTGTCTTTCTTGACCTAATTTGTAATTATTATAAAAACATATAAACTGAATTATAAGGTGATGGTCACGATATTCGGAATTCAGATCATTGTGTTTCTTTTCAGATTAACCCTACAAAAAACATTAATGCAGCAAAAGTATGTTAATTATGTAATCTAATATTGCATGATCCAGATCAAATTGTGACTCTGCAAAATTCAGTTGCAGAAAACATGTAAACTAATAAATCAACTACAACTTTGATCGAAATTGAGAATAAATTTCCACATTCCAGGGAAGACCAGGAGAAAGGAAATGCAAACACGTAATGTAAAAATAGCTCGAAGGCTGGTAAGTGGTAACCTCGTGCCTGATGCTAACCTCATACCCAGAATCCGTTGAAAAATGATCATGACCGGAATCAAAGATCGAGATGGCTCATGCCATTATCATTATCAAGGACACAAAAATTTCGTCGCGGGTACACCACAAAAAAACTCAAATAATTTATGTGTGTTATTTTCTTTCAGTTTCTTTTTTAGTTTTATATTGTTCAAACTCAAGAAATTATACTTACAAGAAAATGAAAAATTACTAATTAGTAAAATTGAAAACTTATACAAATTTTGAAATTGTTGGCCAACAATTGAATTGCGCTAATCCTGCAACATCGTTTTCTGCACCTAAGGACCATTTGAAATTTAACCTGTAACCAGCTAACGCTGACTTTAAGAATTGAAAATTATTTTGTCAATTTCAATGACCTTTAGCATGTGGAAAAGTTTTGAAAATTTTGTCAGTCACAAAGGACACCTAAATGACGATAGACGTTGGCCAGGTCAGATCCACTTACAAGAACTTTCAGTTCTGAGTGCAAAACAATATCGTGACGGTCGGAAAAGATCGTGATGGTTGGAAAAGATCGTGACTGTAAAGATGGAAAATTGACATAGGAAGAAAAAAATGCAATTCAATTAATCTCGGAGTTTTAATCTAAAAATGTAAAAATAAAGTTGCGGCGAATACTTCAGTATTGATACCTCAGGAGTGAATATTATCGTCGATAACTTACTTTAGCTTTAGTGCTAGGGTAAAATTGATAAGGAACCCGTCTAGTAGTAGTTATTTATAATTATACTGGATCCGTGACGTGTCACGTTATCGATTACGTTAACGTAACGTGTCACGTCACGTCCTGGTATAAAGCCACAAACCTTCGTACAAGTTGCACAACTTTCTCAACCATCGAACTCTTTCCACTTTTTCCCTTTTAATTTAATTTTCTGAACCATCCTTCATGGCTGATCTCTGTACGAATTTTAATTGAATAAATTTTGCTTGTCTGCAAATATGTGCGATAACAGATAAACGTCAAGTATAAAGTGCGAATATATCGATATATGCGTCGCACGGCTAAAGCCTAAAAGTGCGATTCTGCACCTGCCGCACATAAATAAATATAATGTTGCCTCCGATATTTATTATTTACAACCGTGCAGTTAATTGTTTCATAGTCATGGTCCGTGCGTACATTTTCCGGGAAAAGTGCGTAAAGTGCGTAAAGTGCGTAAAGTGCGTTCGCCTTAGATCTTGCAGGCAATCCTAGGTTTGGATAAACAATTAAAACGAATTTATAAGCTAATCTTAACTTACTTAATACCTACTTTATAACATACTATGCAGTTAGTGGACGATAAATGAATATTGAGAATACCCGATTGAAATCAAAACGGACCAACACGATGTAAAAAACTACAGTCTACAAGTACATTGTATTTTGAATGTTCGGGCCGATGGTATGTGTAGTGTGTAGCTTACCTATAAGTTTATTTGGTAAAAAGTCCATAAAGGTACCAAAAAGTGCGTGAATTTAGGTCGTTTCGTGCGTTGTGTTTTAAAAGTGAGTAAAGTGCGCACGAACCAACTATAGTTTTTTCCGTTAGGGCACAGACCATCGAATTTAGAATGCTGATCAATTTCATCACGGATACTAGAGATTTCATAAAGAGCGAATATTAAAAGGTTGTACTTTAAGTCCAAGTTACTGCGGACATAGTTCACTATGTGTTTACCGTGTTTGGGTTCATAAGGCCTGCTCGTGTTATCCTGCCGTGGTTCGCAATATTTATAGTTATTATCAGTACATCTGAGCAATTTTCCCATGGATTAAAGTTTATAATTCATTGTTTTCTTCAAAACTATCTCCTACATACATGTATGATGTATATAAATATTATATACATATTATATATATTACAGTCATGGTTGCTATGGTACTGGTAGGGGTAAAATTTTGAACGTTTCAAATTGAAATATGTGTTCGTAGATCAATGATAGGCTGCGCCGGTTAGATGACCTGCTTAATGCTTGTGACAAGGTAATAACATGTCACATACATTAAACACACACGTCACGTACAGTATAAACATACCTCACACGCACAGTATAAACATACATCACACGTACAGTAAAAACACACATCACACGTGCAGTATAAACATACATCACACGTGCAGTAAAAACACACATCACACGTTCAGTAAAAATACATATCACACGTTCAGTAAAAACACACGTCACGTGCAGTAAAAACACACGTCACGTACAGTAAAAACACACATCACAAGTACAGTAAAAACACACATCACACGTACAGTATAAACATACATCACACGTGCAGTATAAACATACATCACACGTGCAGTAAAAACACACATCACACGTTCAGTAAAAACACACGTCACGTGCAGTAAAAACACACGTC